AAAAGTTATAAAGAAGAGGGCTGAGACATGAGCCTTGGGGCAGGCCCATGTAGCTAATTCTGGAAGTTGTCAGTTGTCCAAGGGAAAAGTTCATTTGCTTTTCTGACAACAAATTGTACAAGAAATTATTTAAAATTCCGGAAAGTCCACATCTGTGCAGATTGTCTGACAGAATTTCAATGGAAACTGAATCAAAAGCCCCCTTAATGTCCAAGAATACTGAAGCCAATTGCTCCTTGTGCGCAAAGGCCAGTTGAATATCTGTGGAAAGCAGCGCTAGACAATCGTTTGTTCCTTTGCTCTTGCGGAACCCAAACTGTGTATTTGATAGCAAGTTATTTGTTTCGACCCACTGATCGAGTCTCCGAAGGATCATTTTCTCCAACAATTTCCTAATGCACGAAAGCATCGCAATCGGACGGTATGAGTTATGGTCAGACGCTGGTTTGCCAGGTTTTCGAATGGCTATTACTTTGACCTGTCTCCATTCAGGCGGTATAATGTTGTTTTCTAGTAAGGAATTGAATAAGTCTAGCAAGCGTCTTTTAGCGATATCTGGGAGATTTTTCAGAAGATTGAATTTAATCATATCGCTTCCCGGTGAGGAGTTGTTCGATGAAAGAAGAGCCATAGAGAATTCCAGCATTGTGAATGGTCTATCCAGAGAGCTGCCGCTCGGAGACGCTTCTCGAAGAATGTGTTGTGCTGGAGCTGAGTCCGGACAGACCTTTTTAGCGAAATCGAATATCCATCGGTTGGAGTATTCTTCACTCTCATTAGAAGATGAGCGGTTACGCATGTTGCGAGCCACCCTCCACAAGGTGGTCATTGAGGTTTCTCGTGAGAGTCCCTCGACGAAATTGCGCCAATAACCGCGTTTCTTTTCTTTGACTAATTGTTTCAGCTTTGTCTCAAGCTTTGAATATTCCTCGAAGTATGTGGAGGTTTTGTGTCTACGAAAAGCTTTGAAAGCATCAGATTTTTCTACATACAATTTTGTGCATTCTTCGTCCCATCCAGGTGTGGCTGGTCTCCTTTTGAAGGGCGCACTTGGAACTTTTCTTTTTTGTGCTTCCAGTGAGCTTTTGTATATCAAATCGGCGAGGAATCGATATTCTTCCAATGGTGGAAGCGTATCTATTGATTCGGCACCGATTGTCACCGCCGTTGCATATTTATGCCAATCTATGTTCCTTGTAAGATCAAATGGAACTCGAGATGGTTCTACAGAGTGAGGGGCACACTTAATTGAAATGATGATTGGCAAATGATCGCTACTATGGGGATCATTGATAACCTTCCACAGACAATCCAATGATAGCGATCTAGAACACAAAGATAGGTCGAGTCGGCTTTCTCGAGCCGGAGGTTTTGCTATACGTGTCGCTTCACCAGTGTTTAAAATAGTCAAGTTGAAATCGTCGCATAAATCGTAAAAAATAGCCGCTCTATTGTCGTCATATAGATCGCCCCACCCAGTACCATGGGAGTTCATATCACCCAGAATTAATACTGGAGATGGAAGAATCGAGACAAGATTCCAGAGTTGACTACGGCTAATGGAGGTTCTTGGTGGAACATAAACTGAAGCTATGCAAAGATTTTTGTTCTTCACATTTATTTGGCAAGCGACGATTTCGACGCCTGATAGAGCAGGAAGGGACATTTTGTAGAAAGGGTAGCACTTTTTGATCCCTAAAAGTACTCCTCCATAAGAATCGTCTCTATCCAGGCGAATAATGTTAAAATCGTGGAAGTTGAGTTCTTTATCGGAAGAAAGCCATGTTTCACAGAGAGCAAATATATCACAATCAGAATTGTGAAGTTAAAATTTGAACGAGTCTAGTTTAGGCACTAGACTACGGCAGTTCCACTGTAGCACAGTGATCATATCTTCAACCTTGTTCGACGAATTATCCATCGAAAGATATGATTGATGCAAGGAGGGGCCATGAAACAGTCAATTGCTTAAGATATGATTCTAGTGTTGGAAGCAAGGCAGAAACTAAGCTTCTAAGAGGGTCTTGTATGTTGAACATATTTAATATGAATTCCACAATGTCCGAAAAAGCTAGCAAACCTCGTTCGGACTTGGATTTCTTTTGAGAAGTTTGAGGAGCAGCTTTTTTGTTTTTCTTATCTTTGTTGGGTAATGGCGGAAAATCCTTACTGCAGCCAGGAAGTGGAGCAGTGGGAGCCTTCGATTTAATTTTTTCATCCCCATTACCCTGGGAATTTTGCAATCCTCTGGGAGTGACTTTAGTTTTCTTACGGCGCACTTTCGGGGAGGAGCATTTTCGTTTTGAGGATCCATTTGTTTTCAAAGGTGCGTGTACCACCGTAGAGTCACCCTCATCGGATGAGTCAGAGTCCGATTCTTCAGCTGACAAAATCGAAAATTGGTTTTCATCTTGGACGGCTGATGCAGCCTTCACCATTTGTGCATATGACTGCTTGGAGCGTCCAGAGATTGAACGCTGCACTTTATCGGAGTGCTGTTTGTACATCGGGCACTCCTGCAAGGGGTGAGGATTCTCGCCACAATATGCGCATTTTACTGTTTCTTTGTGGCAAGAATCCTCTTTGTGGTTTTCACCACATTTGCCACAACGAGTTTTGTTGCCGCAATGGCTGGCCGAGTGTCCCAGCCTTTTGCAGTTGGTACAATTATATACCCTCTGTACAAACAACCGCACCGGGAAAAAAGCCCCATCAACTTTAACAAAGTTTGGGAGAACTGAACCAGCGAAAGTCACCCGAAACGAGTCTGAATGCTGATAAACTTTCTTGCCATCTTGCAAAGATACTGAATGCAGTTGCCTGACATCCAGTATCTGTACCTGCTCTCCGATTTTCGAGTTTTTGAACCAACCCGATGCTCGTTTTAAGTCCTCGACACTCAGACTCGCGTCGGAGACCACACCTTCTATCTCCACATCTCGAGAAGGGATGTAGATGTTGTACTCGACACTAAACAGCTCGTGTTCAGCAATTTTATTTGCCACATCATAAGTCGGTGCTTCTACACGCAGTTTATTGAATCTCTCTTTATGTACCAAGATTCCCGGATACTTACGCAGCAAATCTCTCGAAATGTCGAGAGTTTTCAAAGGTTTATTTTTGGGCCGAAAAAAGACAACCCATGGTCCTTTCGAAGACGGTTGGTAGTACCTGGTTCGCGCAACGTAGGCATCCGAAGACGCCATAAGTGTTGCGCAAAAGCGGTGCACAACCGCTTAAAAAGGAAAAAAAATATATAAAAAAAACCTTCACCAATTAATCTACTTAACTACTAGTTGTTAATATTTTGTTGCCCAGTGTATGAACAACCAAAAAAAAACAATAAAAAAATTATCAAAAAAAAAAAAAAAACAAAACAAAAAAAAAACTTTTTATTAGTTGCAAGAAGTTACACCACTATAGCCCTCACAACCCTATCAGGGGAGAGGGCAAAGCCACGCGCAAAATTGAATAACAAAAGCGCGGCAATGGGCTAGAGAAGACTATTGTATAGTAGGTATACTTAACACCGGCCGGTGCCGGCTGTGTGAGCTGATGCAGCCACTCCGTTTGCTGCTTTGTTGTTGTTGCTTGCTGCTTTGGAGTGGTGATGAGATGATGACGGTGAGATGATAGTCCACCTATAGCGTCGCTAAAGGTGGCTACTTCCTCTGCTGACTGCGGTTGCCTTGGGCACTGAACTTCGTCCACGGTAGGAATAACGCGCGATATAAAAAACCACTGTGGTGGGAAAAAAAACTCCACCGGCTACGAAACCAATACCCGCAACGGAGACACGAACAAACTACGTCCGGCTACTTCAAGCTATCGGCGAGGAATGATTTGGTTAGTTATTTAAGGTGCCGGGAAAAATTACATTTCGTATGTAAGGCCTGACCATCGCCAATGATTCAATATATGAACTTGAATGAGGCCATGAGTTTTGGGTTCGTGGCTTTTCACATGGACGATATGAAGATAGAAGAATTCTGAAGGCATATTAACAAATATCCTTAGAAGTGCTGCGTTTCAGAAACATCGCAGCACCCCCTTGCCTCAAACGAACGGCCGTATCTCACGAGGGACTTTGATGATTTTGATTAATAAAAATCAAGAAATACGCGGTGCACGGCGGAAGAGATCAATTCAAAATAAAGTGGTTATTCACTTCAAATCGCAAAAACGTGGGTGACTCATGACTGAGTGAAATTTTCAGCACTCTGCTCGAATATGAGGAAAATTGATGAGAATTTTACTTAGTCTAAGAAGTATACAAATAGACTTTCGATTTTCCCCATATTCGAAAATATTTTCCTGCGTAATCGAAGAAAGTTTTACTCAGTCCTTGAATAACCTACGTTTTTGAGAATTTGAGTGAACGGAACAAAAAGTTTTAGTTTGTTTATCAGCCGTGTGTATTGAGTGCTGCGGCCATTCGTCTGAGGAAAAATGTGTGTTTTTTTCTGGGAATATAACAGTACTAGATACAGCATCACACACTTATCTACTAGTGTAGCATCTTATTTTTTGTTCTCATCTGCAATATCCTAGAAATGCAAAGCGAACCAATGAATTAAAAATCGATAACAGCACTCTCTTACTGCACACACACACACATACGTTTGCGTCACAGTCGATTGAATAGTGCACGCACCCTGCATCATTTCCCATCTGCTTCGAAAGCGATCGAGCGGTACTTATTGAATTCACTATTCAACCTGTCAGCGGAGGCATTTTCAAAAGTGAATATTCAATGAAACGCCTCATGGATTTCGGTGAGCATTTAATTTAAACAACGAAAGGGTTGATGGACTCCATAACGAGGTTGGTAGGCGCATGGCGGACATGAAATTGACATTTATTGGTTGACGATTCCGGTAGTTCGGTTAATCAGTGGAGAGCCATCCGGGTACTGCAACGAAATTCCTGTATCGTTAGTTTTCATCAGCATCCGTTCATTTGGTTTCATTATTTCTTTTGTTGATTCGATGATCCGTCAATTCGCATGAATTTAAACTAAGGCTGCCATCAACGATATCCGATTAAAGCAAATTTGAGTCCAAATCAATTTTGAACCCGCACTGGAATGTGTTTTTCGGGATGCAGAATAATAGACTGATACCGGTGCCGATTGGCATCTGCGACAGCTTCCTGTGCTCGGTTTTGAGAGTGTGCCATTGCGGGGGAAAAAGTGCAAATCCGATTTTGAAGTATGCAAATAGAGTCGTGTGAATAAAAAAGAAGAGAAGAATTAATTCAGCATTCAATCCGTTTTAAGCGGATCTGATAAACTGGAAGGGACGAACGGATCTTCATAAGCCTGGATGGACTTTTGAGGCGATTTTTTTTACTACCGTAAACCGGGGGGAAATTGATCACTTTGTAGCGTTAATATCGATAAAAATTTCTACAAAAAAAGAATACTAAATTAAAACGAGTGTTCATGACAACTTATCATATTGGAGGTTTTGTTAAATTTCTACTAGGGTTGAAATTGCTCAACCATTCAAAAAACTTTCTAGAGCATATATACCTAGTACATGTCTTTTAAGAATTTGAGTCCCCTGAACCCGAAGCAGTCCTTGTGCGAAGTGTATTTAAGCAATGCCAAAACTCATTTAATTAAATTCGCATTCACACCAAAATGTAGGTACTTTCTTGAAATTTTTTAGAAATTTGTCGAAAATCCCATGTTTTCTTGATATTGAAAACTTTTTTTTTGTAATGCAGTCAACTCTTCACAACTCGATGTCCACTAACTCGATATTGAGGTATATAACCATAATAACAATGATTTTTTGATTAGTGGTTTTGTATGGGATTATTAATCTATATCTCGAAAATTCTATAAGTCGATGGTCCCTTCAATATCGAGTTTTAGAGAGTTACTGTATTTTAAATAATTTAAATTCATAGACACTTAGTTGAGTCAAAAAACCACTTAGAAGCTAATGACAACAGTTGTTCCAGCTTTTGAATCGTTTGTTTGAATAATGATATTTTAGGAACACCAGTAAAATTAGATTGAAATGTTTACATCAAAATATACTGTTTTGTTTATACTATCAAGATTTCTATAGATAGCTATTGCCACAACTATACAGGACCTGCAAGCCATCTTGATCCATTTCACCCCGGTAGTCAATTTGTCCCCAGATTACGGTACTAAACAAGAAGCTTACCTTTGATATGTGAATCCTACGGACCAATCCGAATCAAACAGACCCCGGATGGTGCAATCTGGCCGCTCCATCAGATAATAGATGGTACCTATGGCTTTGCCCTCTCGATGGCTGCAGGCCAGTGATGAACCGATTTGCAGCTGATTGTTAACCTTTCGCCAGTAGCTAAGATCAAAGGCTTCCTTCGAGCCGGTTATGGCAAGAGAATACTTGTCGCCGGTGTATCTGAAAAAAAAAACATCTCTTTAATGTTAACTTCGGCTTCTAAAAATACATTGTCTATACGAATTCTGAAAGAAATTCAAAAGCAGTCATACGATCTGCATTCCTTTAAAACAAACACGGCAAGCACATAATTTTAAGATCACATCAAAGTGGATGCACTTCAATCGTGTCGAAAATATGGTGTAATATGACTAAGGACAAAATTATCATTAATGCAGTGCATGAACTGACATTACGATGCTTTAACTGTATTTGTTTATTTTTTGTGGCCATGAGATTTTCGGCATGATTGAAGTGCATCCTCTTGGATATAATATTAAAATTTATTTTTTGCTGTGTCTAGTCTAGTCTAGTCTGGTCTACACATACACAGCCAGTACTTGAAAGAATCCTGGAAAATAATACATCTATCATTTTTCTTGTCATTATAAATACCTGCTGCACATCAAGGATGTGAAACAAACAATAAAGCGGCCAGGCCTACTGTGTAGCGTTTAGTTAATTTTTGTGGAAGTGAATGTTTACCATGTCTACTTAATAAGTATAGACAGTGGTTAACATTTAATCCACAGGTAAGCAAAGAGCGGGGACATACCGTACCAGCCGCTCCGTATGCAGGATTTGAAAATAGGCTATATAAATCGTTGGGAGTGACAGAGCTAAGAAAGTTAATGTACACTCCTTGGTTGTCCGATCTCCTGGGATGGAACACAGGTATTTACCCCTTGTGTTCGAGCGTACAGTCCTCCTTCCGTACAAGCGTGGACGGCACCGCCAACCCACTGCCATCCCTCAATCGATCCAGCCGACCTCAGTCGAAGGACAACAGAGAGCGGTGTGCGGACGTTACCTATACGGAGGGAATGCTGTATTCGCCTAGGTTATAGCGCCCTTGCTCGCTACCATTTTCTTCTAGCGGTTGGGACCTGAGCACTAACTCTTGTCCTATGGCATATGGTTATAGCGCCATTACTCGCTTTCTGAAAAGAGAAGAAGGGAAGGGAAGGAGAGGAAAAGGACTTGGGAAAAGGAAATGCGGAATTCCTTTCCTCATTAGTATTTGTATCGTCAACTTTTATGAAAACTATATAAATCATTTTTCCTTGGTCAGAGGTATTATTACGACATTTGAATAAGATTGTTTTATCATTTGTTATTCAAAATTTAATGTTATAATGATCAACATAGCTTTGGATTATCCAATATAAATCGGTAACACTGTCCTGCAACCGATGATTTTTCTAATCCGAAAACTAAAAGTTACGAAAAAGCACTGATGCCTTCATTAAGTTCCACTTTCACGCGACGTTCAATGGTTAAACAAGTAAACAAGTTATTAAAATGAAATCACGTTCCCGAAAGCAGTCAACAATGTATCTTAAACCGGATCAAGCGTGCGCCCTATTTTTCTAAACATTCCGACGCGTTCCGCCCAATATCAATCAATTACGTTTTTCTACAATAGTAGCCTGGGATAAATCCTAATTCGACCGACACGTGTTTGTTGAAAAATTATATTCTGCCTAATATCAGTAGTCAGTAGTCATAAGGAAACCTGTTACTATATTACCACATATGTATCCTTCTTTCATGAATTTGTTTTACGAACATGGTCTAACACAACCTTTTTCTTTGACAAAACTATATTCTGATAAAATTGGATCATTGCCTAGACCAACTATTGAAATTAAAGAACAAAACAATTGGCCACGTGTCTGGAATAATATTAACTTAAAGAACCTGAACTCAAATGAAAAATCTATTCTTTATTTACTTTATAATAGGAAAAATGATCACAGAGCTCATTTGTATCGCATAGGTATTGCTGACAACCCTAATTGCTTATCATGCGGATTCCTCGAAGATCTTGAGCATATATTTTGTAAACGTTTTTCGGTCAATCAGTCATGGAACTATTTTATTAGACATTTACTAAACAGATTTGATCCTCGTTTAATGCGCTTCTTAACCTTTTCCAGTTTGATAGCTCCAACCTTAGAAGAGTTTAGCAGGGATGACAAAATTATGATTCTAAGAAAATTTGTTCAGTTTAGTCAATATATTTTGGAAACAGAACGACATATGATCTCCTTGCCTAGCTTCAAATTCTTCTTAGAAATAAATGCCTGTAATTAGTTTAGAATAGCTTAGCTTGTAAGACAAAGATTTTATAAAAAAAAAACAGACTAATTTTGACACATTTGACTGATGCAATTTTTCATTCGTTCATTTATTGTATGTACTGTATGTATCTACAATCACACTCCTGTCTGGCAGTGGTCTGGCAGTGGTATTATGTATAAAATCTACCTGTAACCATTTTTTTATGACTGCAAAAAGTTTGAACTCTGGAGTTCGAAGGTGATAGCTTTACCGTATACCCATTAGCCCATTTCAAGATCGCATGCTTCCGAAGATTTTGCTTACAATAAGCCCCGCTCCGGTACAGTATCGATGCTGATAATGTACTGAAACTTTCTATAAAACAGTAGCGCAAAATTTGATTGACGCGTATTTAATGATTAAAAAAATTACAAAAATTAAGGAACGAGCTCACCAAATTAGTATCCAGAAAAGAACGGCACGGCTTAACAGGGTTTAACCAATGGGAATCTTTTCTTTCCATGCTGATTTCACGGTCTAAATCACTAACACTGGCACAACACGGTTACTGAATACGTAAAAACTGAACTGGACTATACATTTGGAAATAATTCAAACGAAAATTCTTCCGGATGGCGTAGCGCCACCAGCCAAAACGCTGACAGAAGATTATCGCAAAAAAATCCCGACAATCCACTGAGTCGCAATTTACGCGGTACGTTTTTAACGATTTCTCGACAACGATACGACCTATCGACTTGATTCCAATCACATTATCCGTTTAAAACTATAGGTAATCGAATGGCATACTTTTAAAAAAATCACAATTTTTGGTGTAAATACAGAAATTTTTAAAATATGTCTATATGGACCATAACATGCTATAATAACGAATGGCGATTTATAAAAAATATTCAAGCATGTGAAAAATCATAATCTCGGTAGTTTTTTTTTTACGCGGTTTTTTTTACGCGGCACGTATCCCTCGCGTCAAAAGCGACTCCAGTGTACACTGAAACCTCCGTTTACGAAGTCTTTTTTTGCGCAGTATTCAATTTACGTCCCTCTTTTAACGAAGTAAATCCCAAATAACTATTTTTTTTTACGAAGTAAATCCCAAATAACGAATTTTTTTTTGTGATTTTGGGAATCTGGGATATATTGTGAAATATCCCACAATATGGGTCTTGTTGGAATCGGAGTGACATTTAGGGACCGGAAATCGATATGTGACACCATTTTTAAAACCAAGATGGTGACTTCCGGTTACTTAAAAACTTGGAAATTCTGCCAAATACCACACAATATGGGTATTTTTGGAATCGGAGTGACGTGAAGGGACCGGAAATTAATGTCTGACGCCATATTTAAATCCAAGATGGTGACTACCGGTTACATAAAAACTTGGAAATTCTGTCAAATACCACACAATATGGGTATTTTTGGAATCGGAGTGACGTTTAGGGACCGGAAATCCATGTATGTCGCCATTTTTAAATCCAAGATGCCGGCTTCCGGTAGCAGAAAAGCTTGGAAATCCTGTCATATACCCCACAATATTGGTATTTTTGGAATTGGAGTGACGTGTAAGAACTGGAAATTTATGTCTGACGCCATTTAGAAATCCTAGACGGCGGCTTCCAGTTACAGAAAAATTGGCAAATACCACCACATCACCCCGATTCTTAAGATACCCATATTGTTGGTTATTTAACATTATTTTTATGTTTTTATGTAACCGGAAGTCACCATATTGACTTTCAAAATGGCGTCAGACATGGGTTTTCAGTCCTAATAAGTCACCCCGATTCCAAAAAAACCCATATTGTGGGGTATATGACTGTATTTTCTAGTGTTTCTGTAACCGGATGTCACCATCTTGGATTTCGAAATGGCGTCAGACATGGATTCCTGGTTCTCACAGGTCACCCTGATTGCAAAAATATCCATATTGTTGTGTATTTAACGGTATTTTTCTGTTTTCCTGTAACCGGAAGCCGCCATCTTGGATTTCAAAATGGCGTCACACATCGATTTACAGTCCCTACACGACACTTCGATTCTAAAAATACCCATATTGTGGGGTATTTGACAGAATGTCGAAGTTTTCCTGTAACCGGAAGCCGCCATCTCGGATTTCAAAAAAGCGTCAGACATCGATTTCCGGTCCCTACACGTCACTCCGATTCCAAAAATACCCATATGGTGGGGTTATTTGACAGAATTTCCAAGTTTTTACGTTACCGGAAGCCGCCATCTTGGATTTCAAAATGGTGTCAGACATCGGTTTCCGGTCCCTACACGTCACTCCAATTCCAAAAATACCCATATTGTGGGTTATTTGGCAGAATTTCCAAGTTTTTATGTAACCGGAAGCCGCCATCTTGGATTTCAAAAGGCGTCAGACATCGATTTCCGTTCCCTACACGTCACCCTGATTCCAAAAATACCCATATTGTGGGGTATTTTACAATATTTTCAAAAACCTCTTTTTACGAAGTAAATCCCAAATAACGAGTTTTCTTTTACGAAGTAAATCCCAAATAACGAGATTTTTTTACGCACTAATTCGATTTACGAACCCCCGTTTTGGTTCGTAAATGGAGGTTCCAGTATACTGTTGGGGCCTCCCTTAGCTCAGTCGGTAAAGGCGCAGCTACAACGCAAGACCATGCTGGAGGTGGCTTAGTTCAATTCCCGGTCCGGTATAGGAATTTTTCGGGTTGGAAAATTTCTCGACTTCCCTGGGCATAGAAGTATGATTGGACTTGCCACACAATTATACCAATGCAAAAATGGTACAGGCATCGAAAGCTCTCAGTTAATAACTGTGGAAGTGCATCTAGAACACTAAGTTGAGAGCACGCAACAAGCTAATATGCGATATGCAATAAGCTTAAAAAGCGAAGAAGAAGAAGAAGTGTACTGTTCTAGAAATTTCGTTCAAACATAGTTTTCGTGTAGATTTTATAGATTGAGAGATAAAAATCAGAAAAGAGGCCGTTATATGTAGCTAAAATTCACAAGACAACAGAGCCAATAAAAGTTTCAATTAGATTGATAGAACATAGTTGCATTGCTTTTCAATGATGACTGTTTCATTGAAAGATGATATTTTTAGAAATATGAATCCCCAGTAGACGTGTTTTTTCATCAAAGGCAAGTGTCCCTCGAGCCATCCAAAATGTTCGTTATTTTATAAATTGCTGTTATAATTTTGATTTTTACGCACAGACCTATTGGAAATTTTTGCCTCATGCAGAATTGATGATAATATCGAGGTTCGATATTCAAAATAATCATTTTGCCTGAAATGAATTTGATTATTTTGCTTTTAGGAATTGCTTCTTATTTTGAAAATGTTGAGATGAATAATCAAGTATTGGTGAATATCAACAAACGCGTATTCGATGATGTATAATGAACTCAATTGTTCATTTCTCTCGTACGTCACAGCGAAGATATTCAAAATGAACGTAATTCATCTACAGTGGGTTGAAGCGCTTCTCCTTGCGTGTGATGGTAAGTGATAAAAACAGATACTGGGTACAAGTACCCCAGAGCAAGTGGTCAGACTCCCTAAAGAATGTTGAAGTAAATCCATAAATTGAATTTGGCGTTAGATGAACATTAGTTAAATCCACCGTCTTGGGTTTGCTGATACGGGCCGTACCTGATTAAGCAATTTAATTCAGGATAATTATAATTAATGTAAAAACCACCACTTCCTATAATAGTGTTCCAAAACGTTGCAACGATGTTTTCGGCAGCAATTTAAAAATTGTCTTATCTGTAACAAGTCACATATACAGTTCGACAGTGAGCATGCATAAGGGCGAATACGCCATGATCGATTCTCTTCATCGATTTTCTCCTTGCATTGCTACAGCTAAGTGAAACATTTTTCTAGAATTTGTTCAATGCAGAGTAGTAACAGGTTGTATTGGCTATCAAAACCAACAGCAAACGCACCGATAAACGTTAAATCTAGCGAGTTATTAACATCCCCTTGGCTAGTTTTTAACCTGGACGTTGGTGGCCGGGCCTAATCTTATGCTTCATAGTGGAGCGTTGAAGACGGTTAGTTTAGGTCCGGCATCGTTGGCTCATGCCGTGGGAATGAGAAAACCAAAGATCTAGTCTAGCATTGATAGTATCACAATTGTTACTCCTTTGTTTGAGAGCCGCGTCGTAGTACGCTTACGTATAGGCACTGATGTTGGATGCGATACTGGTGGGTTTTTTTTCCGCAAATCACTCTTATTTTATTTATTTTTACACTGATAGATTTATTTGGGTTTGCACGGGAATTATATTTCAGTAAGTGCCCAACAGTGATTCTTCTATTTGCGTGACAAGCTTGCATTGTTGTTTTCATTGCCGCATTACTCAGGGAACAATGTTGAACACAATTTTCGTACATGGTATTGTAACTAACCTTATATATGCTTCATTTTGGTTTGGGATAAGTGTTTGAACTGTGGCTCGGGATTTCACTGTGGCGTGCTTCTATTGTGACATATCCATACGTAATTTTGTGGGACAACATAGTGGAAACGTGTGAGCGTAGTTGGAGCATATACCCTATACAATTTAAAAATCAGTTAGAAAACTAACTTCAAAGTGAGGCATTTTAATCTTTTGAAGGTGTCACCTGGGACGAAATAATATATAATAAATATAGGTCAAAGTCATAAACAACTTGAAACACGTTAAATATTAGATTACATGCACAAGTGCAAATACTTAATAAACCATGGGTTATAATTGATTAGGTTGATTAGAGATTTCAATTATTTATTAAATAAGGCTAATGAGATATCATAATCATCAAACGAACTTAAATAAGAAAATTTAGACAGCCTTATAACATTAAGTAGATTAACAAAAGAGTTAGGATGCGGAGGGCCACTTAGGGAGGCAACTAGCCTTTAAACCAACTGGCAACTAGCCTTTTTCATGTATATTCTGTTTATTTTGATGGTTGCTTTAAAATATCAATTTGGTTCTCCATTGACCCTACTCACATGTAACAAATCTGACCGACTGGTTGAAACCCCGCCGAGAAATAGCGGTGGGTGCAACTCAGTGGGTAACGAGTTCTTTGGGGGGATAGCTGTATTTACATAGACGTGGAAAAGGAGATTCCTTTCTCGCTTAATTTCCCCAATCGGAAGGTAAACATATTCTACTTGGGGAATAATAATAAATACTTTCTGTTCAAGGCATAGGGTCACCGGAAGGCTGGCCCGCAACAAACATTTCGTGATGAGTGTTTAAGTGAAGACCACAATTTTTGTTCATCTCTTGAATCGAAGCGCTATGTCCCTCTTTGTCGATATTGCCATACTTGGAAACCACTTGCTGCAAATAGTTTTTAAATTTATTGCATTTATTTTCTTGTAAAGGAAACTTCGGCTCAGTAAGGTTTATTCAATTGAGTATAATCAAATAAAGTAATAAATAAAAATAAAAATAAACTGCTATCCAAATAACTTTGGCTCCATTAGCATCATCCACCTTGATCCAGGATACTTGAGTCCTGCACTCGACTTCATTAAAAAAATATGTTACAATTCCCACCTTACTAAATGAATGTTGATAGCCACAACGCTAACAATATTAATGAACTAGAAAGATTGGCCAGTGGTAAGCTCTGAAAATAAATAGGAATGACTTACATGTTGCGATAGGGCATCTGAGATTCCAAAATAAACATCAAAGTTGCAGAATGTAATCCAATAACCCACTGAAGCTCTACCGCGGTGCAGCTACTTATGCCATTTCAATCAAATACAGATGCTTATCGCATCATCTCCTCAAGTTACAGACCCAATGCCCTGAAGGATGGACATGTCATTGACACGAAAGGCATGGCATGTAAACATCCGGTCATCACTTTTGCGAAACATCAACCAAAATCAACCTATTTACGTACCTTGCGGCGATTGCCATCTGGGCATTAGTTGTGTCCCGATACCACTCGTACAGCAGCTCCGCCCCGAATGCCAATCTATCGTTGTAGCTCACCAAGTGGTCCAGTGTCATGCGGCAGGATTGCCTGGTGGGATTGTAGCAGCGCAAGGTAGTAGTTGTGCTGGTACCAGTATGCTGCAGCGAGAGTCTATCTATTACCGGGGACGATTGGGTTTGCGGTTTCAGCTGGATACTTATCTCACTGCAGATCGATGCAACCGGGCGGTACAGTAAGAAGAGATTGGATGCCAAAGTGCCTGGATTCAAATCAAAAGCGACCACTGGTGTCTTCTGAGAAATTAACAAAGAACAACAAAGATTATAATCCAAAATACAGCATTAACAAAGCACTTCTTACCAATACGGTGTCGCTGCATTTTCGCTGCACTTGGGCTCCAAGACGAAAACCAGTCGGTGTTATGTGACTGAGATTCCAGCTGGCCCATATGATTCGATGCACGGTCAGCGTTTTGAAGGTGTTCAGCTGGAAACCCTCAAACCATTCCGGCCGCAAATCGTATGCGCGCTGGTGAAGGCTTGCAAAGTCTCCAGGATTCAGCGCAACCCGTGGAATACCATCGACCGTTATAAGAGGTTTCGGGAAATGGGGTCTTTGTTTGCCTGGGCGGGCTTTCGGGAAGCATGGTTCTTCGTAGCAAGGATCTGGATGACGAGGTGACATTTCGATGGTATTTAGTTGAGGGAGATGCGCTGCCGGATTGCTTTGATGATGTTTTGCAGGGAGACTGACAAGACTGGACACCGGAATACGGTAAATTCTGTAATAACCTCGGTAACGGAGTTAGTGGACCAGTTCCACGACATTGGACGCATTGGATAAACTCGACCTTCTCGATTTGCGTTACACTTTGCATAATTTTAACAATCATCTGCCAAGAAGGAGGGTTGCTGAAGATTTCACCATTGGTGGTGTCAGCACTGCATCCCACAGTTTTTATGCTATGTTTATTGAGCATTGACGACACGTATGCGTTAAAAAATCTTATGTGAATAATCATTAATGATAATTGAATTTTTTTATGATTAGCTTGCCTCATTTAAAAATTAATATAATAAATATTTAACTCTAACATGTTTGTTGAACATTTATCACGATTATTTTGATGATGATGATGGTCCCACCTCTTACCCCTACAAAGGTTTGAGCTGGACGATTTATCTTTAAGATAATTAAATATGACATTTTAACCAGGTTGGCAAACAAAATCGAACTGGTTTCAGTTACAGATATAAATTCCCTCTAGAGTTTACAGTTGCTTCACAGCGATATAAATGTTGAAAAGCTCAGGCGTCCACCTCTTAGTTCGCCTTTTTGTCCACCTAAAATATTCATAAGTATAACAAGCAATCAAGAGTTAATGAACAACAAAGCATCCTATTACACTAGTAACCCCGCAATCTGATGCTATCATAATTTTCAGCAATGTCAGGAATGCACACGAACCCCCAACATTTGCCAGAAAACTTACTACTAACTCAAGGTATCTTCCAAATAAGCTTCAAAATTGCATTTTTTTTTTTATCAAATGTTAAATTCAGTCCTCTATATCCGTAATACGCGCGCGAGGCTCAAACCTTTGTAGACTACTATTTTTTTTACTACTACTATTAAATCAAATATCTAAAATCCATCATCACCCTCGTGGCGAACAGAAATAGTTTTTGCAGTGCTACAATAATTATTAAAAAGTCGTTATAACAGCTATCCATACAAAATAATCCGTTAAAAATAACTTCGTCAAGATACATAATTTGTCAATTCATAAAAAAATCACTGGGTAACTGTTCAAAATACAGTTTTAACGTGTGAAATGCAGTGTCTTTTAAATTCTGTAAGTGTTGCTAAACGTTTGATATGTCTAGGCATCGAATTGAAAACATTTATTTCTTTATAATATAATGAATTTTGTGAAGCACAAGTCAAAAAATGAGGTGTTCTTATTTCAACCGCGTTTCTAGTATTATATCTATGATAGTCACTTCCTCTTTCAATTCGATCACACAAATATCGAGGCAGCAAACCGTTAACTACTTTAAAAATGAACACCATAGTCAAATATACAATTCTTTGCTTCACCGACAACCATTGTAAGGCGTCTAACATCAAAGTTGAGGAAGTGAATCTATTACATCTCAAAATCAAACGCATTATTTTATTCTGCAAGCGCTGTAATCTCGATATTTGTGTTGCATTCGACAGAAATAAAATGGATGGGCAAAAGTCTAGATGAGGAGAGATGATTGATTTGTATAGCTGTATTTGACTGGCAATAGTTAAATCGTTTTTCAATCGACATAGAATTCCATAAAACAGCAAAAAAGTTTATCTTCCATTTAATTCCACTTAATTAATTTTGGTATCCATGACAGATACGTATTTCGACTACAATGTGCAGTCTTCATCAGTGTCATTCCCACTAAAGAACTTATCAAAATCTAACCCCCTTAAGTACTCATCCCCTAGGTAAAAAAAGTCAAGATCATAGGTATAAAAATGAAACTACAATGTGTTGAATCGGAACCTACCTAACTAATAAAAACCAAAGATTTAAGTAAGCTAAAGGAGAAAAATCTATACAACTCTCTAATAAGGAAAATCCCCAAAGGCTTGGTAGCCATCATAATGAAGTAATGAAATTGGGTTGTTAGCGGAATGCTAAATAAAACAGCAAAAAAGTTTATCTTCCATTTAATTCCACTTAATTAATTTTGGTATCCATGACAGATGCGTATTTCGACTACAATGTGCAGTCTTCATCAGTGTCATTCCCACTAAAGAACTTATCAAAATCTAACCCCCTTAAGTACTCATCCCCTAGGTAAAAAAAGTCAAGATCATAGGTATAAAAATGAAACTACAATGTGTTGAATCGGAACCTACCTAACTAATAAAAACCAAAGATTTAAGTAAGCTAAAGGAGAAAAATCTATACAACTCTCTAATAAGGAAAATCCCCAAAGGCTTGGTAGCCATCATAATGAAGTAATGAAATTGGGTTGTTAGCGGAATGCTAAATAAAACAGCAAAAAAGTTTATCTTCCATTTAATTCCACTTAATTAATGTTGGTATCCATGACAGATACGTATTTCGACTACAATGTGCAGTCTTCATCAGTGTCATTCCCACTAAAGAACTTATCAAAATCTAACCCCCTTAAGTACTCATCCCCTAGGTAAAAAAGTCAAGATCATAGGTATAAAAATGAAACTACAATGTGTTGAATCGGAACCTACCTAACTAATAAAAACCAAAGATTTAAGTAAGCTAAAGGAGAAAAATCTATACAACTCTCTAATAAGGAAAATCCCCAAAGGCTTGGTAGCCATCATAATGAAGTAATGAAATTGGGTTGTTAGCGGAATGCTAAATAAAACAGCAAAAAAGTTTATCTTCCATTTAATTCCACTTAATTAATTTTGGTATCCATGACAGATACGTATTTCGACTACAATGTGCAGTCTTCATCAGTGTCATTCCCACTAAAGAACTTATCAAAATCTAACCCCCTTAAGTACTCATCCCCTAGGTAAAAAAAGTCAAGATCATAGGTATAAAAATGACTTTTTTTACCTAGGGGATGAGTACTTAAGGGGGTTAGATTTTGATAAGTTCTTTAGTGGGAATGACACTGATGAAGACTGCACATTGTAGTCGAAATACGTATCTGTCATGGATACCAAAATTAATTAAGTGGAATTAAATGGAAGATAAACTTTTTTGCTGTTTTATTTAGCATTCCGCTAACAACCCAATTTTATTACTTCAATAGAATTCCATACTTCTTGGCAATTTTCTTGATGACATTGTCAATGTGAGAGTTGAACTTAAGTTTGTCATCAATAATCACGCCAAGATATTTAATCTCCTGAACGCGATCAATATTCTCATCATCAATTACAACAGAGACGTTCTCATTTAATCGATTCCGCGAAATTACCATAAATTTAGTTTTACTTGTATTCAATTTTAACTGCTTACACTTCAACCATCTACTTAGATACTGCAAATCTTCATTCAAGTGTGAGACGGCAACTTCTAAATCCTTAGCTGCAATGAATAACACAGTATCATCTGCAAAAAGGTTAATGTCGCAAAACCGTAAAACACGTCGCAAGTCATTAATATACATAATAAATAAAAGGGGCCCTAATACACTTCCCTGGGGCACTCCAAGGTTGTTCCCCACGGGACTGGAAACAGAATCATTAAAAACAGTCCGTTGAGTTCTGTCAGACAAATAGCTTTCAAACCATTTATATGCAGTACTCGTAATTCCAAAGCGCTTGATTGTACTTAACAGTAAGGGCCTAGAAATTGTTTCAAAAGCGCGTTTCAGATCCAAAAAAACAGCAACAATCGTATCTTTACGCTCCAAGTTGTCTTTCCACTTTGCTAACACCAAATTCAATGCAGTTTCACAAGAATGACCTTCCCGATATCCCGATTGTTCTGGTATCAACAAAGAGTTGCTATTCAAATACTCCAACAGCTGGCCTTTAACAACAAGTTCTAAGATTTTCTCTAATGTGTGCAACATGTTGATGGGACGAAACTCTTCGGCTTTAATCGTTCCAGCAACTTTTTGAATAGGAATCACTAAGGATTCCTTCCAAATTTGTGGCACATGTCCATTCTGCAATGATTCATTAATAAGGTCCAGAAAGATGTGGCCAATGACATGAAAGCAATCTTGAATAACTCTAGCATTAACATTATCTACTCCAGCCGATTTTCCTAATGAAAAACAAATAACTCTAAGTTCATCTAATGTAATTGGGTGAAAAACTTCAAATCTGCAACTACTATTAACTGGCTGTTTTATTTCGTCAGGTTCATCGACCAATTCAATAGATTGATTAATCAATGAAACACTGTCTACGAAATAATCATTAAACTTAGATGCAATTACTTGTTCTGACTGTTCTAATGTGCCATTAAAAGTTATGGACCGCGGTTTGCAATTACTAGGTTTTAATAAAGATTTCAAAATTTTCCATAACTCTTTGCTGTTGTTTTGATGCTGATCAATCTTCCTTTGAACATATTCACAACGAGTTTTCTTTATCGATTGTGAATACTTATTACGCGCGATTGTGTACCTAGTCCAATGATTGTCATTATTAGATCTACAAAACTTTTTGTACCATTTGTCCCTTTTCCGTTTAAGACGCAAAAGATCCAAATTGTACCAGCTGTTCGAGTTTTTCAAAGAAACAAACTTTTGCTCAACTAGTTGATTGGTACACGTTTTCAAAGCGTTATTAAGAACAGCTGTAGATTCATCTAAGTTACCGGCCGCGAATGGAAAATCCAGGCTTCTCTCAACAAGATTTGAAACAGCTTGCTTCGAATATTTCCTCCAGCACTTCAATTTTACAAAATTATCGTTATAGTTAACATGGTCTAAGACATTAATCACTAAAGTCTCATGATCGGTTATTTTCAAATCAGTATCCGTAACTGAACAAATGGAATCAAAATTGGAATAAACGTGGTCAATTAAAGTTCTACTGTTCCTGGAAATACGCGTTTATTCATTTACCGTTTGCTTTAAATTAAAAAACTCAGCTAAACGCTTCAAATGATTCGAATTATGGTTATCACGCCAATTAATATTAAAATCACCAGCCAATATATTTAATTTACTAGAATCAAGGAATGTCTC